TATTCATCACAAAATATAATTTCTCTCGAGAGATATTGCGCATGCGCGCGCACCGTGTAATGCGTGCGGTGCCGTCTGAGGCAAACTTCATAATATAGCTGGCTGAGGGGGGATAGGAGATTGGATACTGAGGAAAGCCGGCAGGGAAGATAGCTGGGAGCGGTAGAAGAAGGAGGCTAAGCGAGGGACTGGGGAGGCAAGCAGAAGGACTCGAGGGCATAAAGTAGGTGTTTTGTACCCTACAGGCTAGGGCGCTCTCCGAATTATAAACACATGACAACTGATAAAGGTTTATTAAGGAAATCTATGCTGAGATACCCCCTAATCATATTAATTGCATATTCATCCCAAAATATAACTACTCTGGTGAGATATTGCGCAGGCGCTAACACACTAACGTAGCCAAATTGTGTATTGGCTGGTATAAGCAGCGGGGATTCTCACGGTCATTGTTTTCGCATTGTTTTCACTCGCTCTCTCCAGTTTAGGAATTAATTATTGAATGGAGGCGTCAATACCGTCGGTGCGGCCGTAATTTGCTAGGCGGGTGATGTCCCGAGCTGAGAGGGGCTGAGAAAACACCAAGATACTATACCGTGTCTCCGTTAACATACGCGCCAGAAATCGCCCACTGCATTTCTCGCGCGCGTTGCGTTATGTTGCATTGATTGTACTGCGTTTCGTTGCTGGTGGGGCAACAAGGTTACCTTTTTACATCGCAGCTCTCTCTCTCTCTTGTTTTTTTTTTAGCTCTCTTTCTCCATTACTTTAATAATGCTGGGACGTGTGTGGGAAAGTCCAAGTTGCTTTAACGCAGCTTTGTTTGTTGAATATGAAAACTGGTTGATCGCTGAAAATCGAACGCATCCGCAAATTAATTTACAGCAAGTAAGAACACCCGAGTGGTCTCACTGTGTCTGAGATTTCTCAAAGCGTGATTCAGCGTGCACTGACCCTAACGAACCAGACAATCCGATAAGGCACCGACAAATCTGCTAAGCCGCTATTTCTAATTGGCACGCTTGAAATTATCATCATCATCATCATCATCATCATCATCATCATCATCATCATCATCATCATCGGCAATCCCTCGAGTTCGAGGATGATTGTCTACCATGGGAAGGCTATGGATTTCTGTGGGTCCTCAGATGACTGACGAGGCCAATCCTGGATCCACATGGCTTGTTACAATGTATGCAGGTGTTGTTGAGATTGATGAATAGGTCAGGGTGATTCATTCTGTCTGCAGCACGTGCTTTCTGTCGCTCGCGATTCTCCATTTCATGCTGCCTCCTTTGCGCTTCAAAGTGATGAGAGCCTTCCCATATACTTTTTCTCTATTGATGGCGATCAAGCGCAACAGTTTCCCAGGTACTAGGGTCGATGTTACACTTTTTTAGGTTGGCTTTGAGTACATCCTTGTAGCGCTTTCTTTGTCCTCCTCTTGAGCGTTCGCCTTGTCGCAACTGGGAATATAGGACTTGCTTAGGAAGTCTGTGGCTAGGCATTCAGGTAACATGGCCAGCCCAGCAGAGTTGGTGACGTATTGACTGTGCTTCGATGCTAGTTGTCTTGGCTTGTAAGAGAATACTAACGTTAGTGCGCCTGTCTTCCCAGCGGATTTGGAGGATCTTTCTTAAGCATCTTTGGTGATATTTTTCCAGTGCTTTTAGGTGCCTCCCGTATGTGACCCAAGTGGCAGCTCCATATAGAATAGTGGGGACGACAACGGCTTTATAGACTAGCAGCTTGATATCAAGTCGTATGTTACGATCACCAAGAACACGTTTCCTGAGGCGACCAAAGGCTGCACTAGCGCACTGAAGTCGATTTTGTATGTCATGGTCAATGTCGGCTGCCTGAAAAAGGTGACTTCCAAGGTAAGGATAATGCTGAACATTCTCGAGAACCTCGTCATGGATTCGGATCTTTGGAGCTGCAGCTTGTTCATTAAGGGCTTGTTGATGGAGCACCTTTGTCTTCTTTGTGTTCAAGGTGAGTCCCATTTTCTCATATGTTTCAGTAAAGACGTCTACAATCTGCTGAAGATCCGCCTCTGACTGTGCACAAACTACGGCGTCATCAGTATACTGGAGGTCAATTACAGATAACTGAGAGGTTTTGGTTCGAGTCTTCAGTCGTTTGAGGTTGAAGAGACTACCGTCCATTCGATAGATGAGGTCTACTCTAGCTGGGAGTTTGTCCAGGTGGCGCATGGCAGCAAGGAGGAGGGAGAAAAGTGTTGAGGCAATGACACATCCTTGCTTTACTCCAGTCCTAATTACAAAAGGGGCTGTGAGCATTGCATTCATGTCATTGTGTAGCAGACGGACGATAGTATAGCAAACTTCTGTGGGCATCCAAATTTCCGAAGGATCATCCACAAGCCTTTACGATTGACAGAGTCAAATGCGTTTGTCAAGTCAAAAAAGCCATATAGAGAGGTTGATGTTTTTCCCTGCATTTCTCTTGGAGATGGCGAGCAGAAAAGATCATGTCGGTAGTGCCCCTCGATGGTCTACACCCACATTGAGATTCTGGTAGTAGCATTTCAGCAAGAGGTAGCAGACGGTTGAGAAGGATTCGTGTGATCATCCTTGTGGTGGATAGCAGGGCCATTCCACTGTAATTTCCACAGTCAGTTTTGTCCAATTTCTTGAAGATTGTGACAATCAGAGCGGCTTTCAGGTCACTTGGAATTTCTTCATTGAGCCAGATCTTGGAGATAAGGGAGTGAAGTTGGAACAAAAGCTCGGCTCCTCCCAATTTGAAAATCCCAGCTGGAATACAGTCATTCCTTAGAGCCTTGTTGTTGCTCATCTGCATGATGGCTTTCCTCATCTTATCAAAAGTTGGGGTAGCTCCTAGCTCATTCCACACTGCATGTTGTGGCAAGCGGTCAAAGACTTCCTGATCTATTGTTGATTCTTTATTGAGGAGATCCTCAAAATATTCTTTTCATCTAGCGTTTACGGCTTCTTTCTTTTTGATCATTTCTCCTCCATCTTTAGACCTAAGAGGTGTTGCCCCTTGCTGGGTGGGGCCATAGATGGCTTTGGTGGCATTGAAGAAGCCGCGCATGTCATGGGCATCCACAAGGCGTTGGATCTCACTAGCCTTGTCTTTCCACCATGCATTCTTTATGTGTCGGGTGCGCTTCTGTACTTGTGCCTTAGCATTACGGTGGGCCAGCTTTTTCTGCGGTGAATTGGGGTCATTTTGCCAGGCACAGAAGGCATTGGACTTTTGATTGATCAGCTCTTGGATTTCCTTATCATTCTCATCAAACCAGTCTTAATGTTTTCTAGCAGAGTGTCCAATTACATCAGTGCAAGTGCTAATAATAGCAGCCTTCATTTTTATTCCAGTCTTTCATCATGACTTGTATTGGTTGTTGACTGGATTTTGCCAGCTCTGCACTTAGACTTTGGAAGAAGCGATCCCGCTGAGCAGAGTCTTTCAGTTTGTTGGTGTTGAATTTCACAACTTTTGGCAGGCTTAATAAACGTAGCAGGTATATATAGTCAAGCTTTGACAGCGTTAAGACGAAAACTAAATAATAGACACCATTAAAATCAGTGTTGATGTCGTGGGTGGTGGTAATCGGGTTGCTGTTGATGGTGTTTGCATTTACTGCACTAAACACACAATCATCACGTGCTTGAGTCGTATGTTAAGAATTACGTATTTATTGAGTGCATATAAATTATTTTACATTAGTTTACAGTGAGTTCACGTAATATACAGTTATATATATATCCGCATCCATCACTCTTCCCTCGCCCTTCTGTTTCTCCCACTCTCTCACCCTCTGTCGGGCGCTCCCCTCAATCCGTTCCACAGCGTTAATTATTGCCAGTAGTTAATCTTCACGTTGACGCCATTTCGTTGAAGCCAATCTTTCGTTTATTATCGATAGTGGTCACATCCAATTAGAACGACTATTCATCCGACAAAAATTATTATTATTTGTCATACTCTCATGATACGCGATCCAGCGTGTGTAAATCCTTCAAAGTTCCAACACCATGGTTATAGGCATCGATAACATATACCATTACGACACTCTGTAGTTACAGCGCAGTTTTATTAAGCGTTCCCCAAGACTCTTAATTCTCCAAGCATCACCAGGGTGTACTGCGCGACAGATATTATTTCGTTATCAGACAGATTGTTGCTATAATTGGACGTGATTATATATCATTAGACAGTTCAGGTGACGCTCACGTGAGCAACTTGGCTGCCTATTATTTTAGAATTATGATAATTTCGCTCAAGGTACGTCACACAAAAATCAGTGTTTTTATAGATAGAGTGCATTTAATTGTAAGTTTGCTATACAGACAATACAACACGAAAGGATTCGATGCTAGTACAGGTTTCTAATAACGTTGTAACGTTATAAACGTTGTGGTGAAAATCGATGACGTCGCGTGATCCCTGAGGACTCCTGTAAATACATATTGTGCTGCCAGTGAAGAATTGCGCATTTGAGTAGAATTTCATCATTCAGGTGCTGCGGTCGCATTGAGAAGGTAAGACCGCAGCGCTGCTTCTTTCCAATATATATATATATATATATATATATATATTTATTTATTTATTTATTTATATACAATAATTGCTTGTTGTTGTTGTTGTGAAGCCTAAACCAAAGCCACATGTAACCCGAGATTTAATTTTCCCTACACGCTTATACATTGTTAAGGGAACTCACATTTTCTGTCGGCAGTTGTCTGGTTTCGCCATCCTGTAACCATTCTTGAGTAGCCACAGCAGCTCGCCGGTGTCGACGACGGCTGGGTACGGCGCTGCGCCGAGGGTGACTATCTCCCACAGTAGCACGCCGAACGACCAGCTAAAAGGTGGAAACAGCTAGGTGAGCTGCGACTTATCAGGAACCAAGGGATATGTGCGATGCTAGCATGCCGTAAGACGTTATAGTAATTACAATATACTAATTACTATAGAAACAACAATTACACAGCCATTCACTACAATTACTATATACCAGGTGAGACGCCGTCAGTAAACATTAATGTGTGCTGACGGTGTTCCACCTTGAAGCTGAGAGCTGGGAATTTTGAACAAGCGGTGCGTGCTCGTGTACTATTATCAGGAGCACGCGTGTAAAGAAATCTCCATTCATGCATTTCCTGTATTGTCCCATATATCATCTATCACATATCCAACCCTGCAAGGCTGGAACCTGTAGACAGCAGCGATTGCGATCCTATCGTCACACACAGTCTACCGTGCCGGATCATGCTACCCAGTGGATGTTTAGCCTTTGAGGTACACTATCTTTGGGTGAGCAGCTCTAGCTGGGTGTACACTACTATGGGTAAAGCTACGCTGATTGCCCCACCCTAATGGAATGCTAGCGAAGAAGTGTGTCACCAAAGGGGTGTTTCATAGTAGAAGTGCACTACCCGCGGGATACGTACGCTATCCCGAAAGTTTCCCACCCTGGAGATTCACTATACCCTGGGGTGTCCCACCCAATGGATACACTAGCCTGGGGTGCCCCACCCTATGGATACACTACCCTGGGGTGCCCCACCCTATGGATACACTACCCTGGGGTGCCCCACCCTATGGATACACTACCCTGGGGTGCCCCACCCTATGGATACACTACTCCGGGGTGTCCCACCCAATGGATACACTACCCTGGGGTGTCCCACCCAATGGATACATTCCCCTGGGGTGTCCCACCATGGGACAGCGCGTTACTCGTGACAATGCCTATGATGAGTAACTGTTATCCTTGATAGTAATTTCGTCCGTTGACAGTAAAAACGTGAAACGATTGTGCCAATTACTGTTAAAAGCGTCAGCTACACTAATGTAAGTGATAATTGCGTTTGGGAATTTTAAGGGTACGCAGGTGTAGTAATATTTCACGTTAATCATTGTTAGAACAAAAAAAGTTTACAAAGTTGTTTGCTTTGCTGCAACTTTTCTCGCCGCGTAGTCTAGGTTTGGTAGTAAAACTAGACTTACACTTTCTCTAGATGTGGTTTAAATTTTAAGAAACATTTATTAACGTACACACTGTGTGGCATAGACTTGATAAAAGGAACCAAACTTATATTCCGCACCTCTCAGCGGTATTGGTTTGATAAAACAAATATTGACTTACACACATTGACAACAATATTATTATATCAACAGCAACAAAAACTATCACAGTCACAAGATTGATCATGCATCTCTGCGTAGATAGGTCTGAGAAATAACCAAATTTACCTACTACGCTGTAAGGTGTAGGATTAACAAAGCAACTATATGTACACCCACCGTACTCTACGGTATAGAAATAATAAAGCAACTATGCTTACCCACCACACTGTATAGTGCAGAAATAATAAAATCATTAAGCTTATACAACGCTCTGAGTGGTGTAGGAACTAACAAAACTATAAGCTTACACATCGCACGGTTTGGTGCAGGAAAAATAAAACCACTAAGCTTACACATCGCTCTGTGTAGTGTAAATTTGATCAAACAGAGCCTCGGGTGCCATCCACTTTACGGGAACTTTGGAGCCACTCATCATCGTGTACGAGTTCTGTTCGTAGATGTTTCTAGAGAGGCCGAAATCAGATATCTTGACGACGTCGCTCTCACAGACGAGAACGTTTCGCGCTGCCAAGTCGCGATGTACGATCCGTTTCGACGCGAGGTATTCCTATAACGAAGAATTAAAATACGGAGGCGCAAATCGTTAGTGTAATTCACAATTGTAATTTAGATATATTATTACTAACTGCGAAATCTATTCTTCGTCTTTAGATTCGAATAATAATAATATTATTAATAATAAGCACAGGAGTGTTATTTCCAGGTATTGCCACATACAGGACATCGCATAGGAAAGCATAAAACGTCAGTGAATATAAAACGTGATGTTTATATTCGTAGAATAGTAATGAGAGCAGGATGACGAGTAGTTACGACTGTTTTGCGGGTAATCCTCGAGTACAATATCCGCAAACTTTGTTTATAATCTTTAATAAATAATTTACCTGCTTCGCATGAAGGGGACTTATTGCGCTTATATGATTGCATGACCCTATAAGCTAGGATGCCCTCGGAAATGCACGAACTTTATTCGGAATTTGCTATACAAATTTAATTGCGAATAAAACAGAAAATCGCTGAATAAGTCTCCCTGATCAGTTTGTTTTTCGCAAAATAACAGACGACGTCTGCTGACTTTGTCCAATTACGCTCGCTCAATTAAGCAGTCTCAAATCTACTCAGAACATCCGATGACGATCTAACTCACCATTCCACTCACCACTTGTCGTGAGTAAGAGAGCAGCAAAGCTCCCGTCGGCTCAACTACACCATCCTCACTACCTATATACACACATAGCAAAAATATATAGCTTAGACAGACAGTACGCGTATCGTGTAAAACGTTGTAAAAAAATTCTGCTTCTTTCTTCGACACTGTCAAACAACGAACGACTTCGCATGTTGTATTTGGGTCAGATAACAAAGCGAAACATTACGCACGGAAGCTAAAAGATAGCGTGATATCAGAGAGGTTGTTTACAGAAAGAGACGCACAGGTTTGGCGACAATAAAGCTGAGTGGTATTTGCGGACAACGCTGCGTTAATCACGTGCCGCGAAAGAGATGGCACCGTCTGCACTGCCTGTTGCTATGGACGCATGCATGTAGTGAATATACTGTGCACAACGACGAGGTGGCTTTTAAGTAAGAAATAATATTAAGGTATTAATTAGGTAGTGCTGTGTCAGGCTAAGTCTAGTGGCTATAGGTTAAATGTCAAGTCACCGGGGTGCACGGTTAAGCTCAATATATAACGGAAAGAAAACGCCGTGCAGTCAAGAAAAGAAGAGTATAGACGAGTATGAATAAGCAGGAAAATTTCCGACCCTTTCATCAGCGCTGCGCTAAGCTAAGATTATACGTACACAAATGAATTTCGTTAAGAGCCCAGCTGAGTAATAGCATAGACGCAGAGAAAATAAATTAGCTATTTTACCACCTACAAATGAATACTGAATGTCGTATATTTGCCCATTTTGGTTCGTATGTTCGTATAATTTGATGTGCGTATTTTAATTTTCTTAAATTCCCGCAGACGACTCGAACCCGAACGACTATATTTCTTTAAAGGGACAAAACGTGTAGTTTAGCTACTGCCGCTGATTACATATACAAAACTATTGATATATTTACAAAAGCTAATAATAGAGTAGTGAGGCACATATAGTGAGTGGGTTGTGCAAGCGGCCCAATAGTTTGCCCGCGTTACTAGATGCAGCAACATTTGCTGTAGGCTGATTGCTGAAACACCGCAAGCGAGCCCCGTTATAATCATACAACAATGGGCGGCGTTCTGGCTCAAACTGAGAGCGTCTTTTAAGTGGTTTAATAATATCCACGATGACATGGTGGTCCGTGCATGGATCGATCGCGATGAGCTACTGCATGCGTACCTTTTTCTGGGGGATTCCACGGGGCCGCATACTGGTCGTCCTCGCTAAAATCTAGATCTACGTACTTGTTCTCTACTTGCTTGCTCTGCAGATGTGCAGGAGAAAATCGTAATTAAACGCGTTTAAGAGCCTTACGGACGAAGAGTGGATTGACGGTAAACGTCGCATCAAGTGATTTACGCGCCCAGCAACTTTTCACTATTATTACTAAATGGTAATTAATGACAATAATAAAGAAATAGGTAAGCGGATGTGTGTATGTCGTAGAAGTAGTGTTTAGACATTGACGTAGTGTTCACTGTTTGATATAATAATGACGAAAATGCATTGTGGCTTCAAACGCATTATCAATTCAAAATATGCTAGCTACATGAACTAACAACAACGCGCGCGTGCGTGTGTGTGTGTGTGTGTGTGTGTGTGTGTGTGTGTGTGTGTGTGTGTGTGTGTGTGTGTGTGTGTGTG